ATACCTCCAGGGGTATTCCTTCCCGGCCTCTGAATTTTTATACGGATTTTTGTATGTGACTCCCTATTCGGCTTGTCCTCGCAGGAATCTGATAGACACCTCAGCGTCTGTGTCCAAATCTGATGCCTCCTGAACCTGTCCTTTGCAAAGGCTTCCCCGTCTCAATGCACGAGACTCTCTCCTCCCAGTTGCTCAGTCCCAAACCTCGTTACCGTCCCTGACCCTTTCCCGGCTCCCAATCCGCAGTCTGCAAAATAGCAAACAGCTCCGCCTTCCTAATATGCTGCCACCCTGAGCACTGCCCAGCACTCCGCCCCGGCCCAGCTCCGCCGTCTCCAGCGCCGGCGTCCCCCACGCCACGCACACACGGCACACACGCCATCCTCGTCTTCCCCAGGATCAGTGGCTGCTTTACAGCTTCGTGCCACTCCTCTGCCCACCTGCTCTCTCCCTGCCTCACTGAGACCGCACCCTGTGGCTGGATCTGACCCCTGGTCACCTGTCTGACCCCACTGCCCGCAGCTCTTTCCCTTGCTCCTTCCATCCTAGCGACGACCTTCCCTGCCCCCCTTGGAAATGGCACTGCTCCCCAGCACTCCCGCGCCTCCGCACGCATCCCGCATGGCCGTGCACGATCAGTTTGCACTGGCCCTTTATCTCTGGTCGCCTCCACCCCTGGGTGCCGGCCTCCTGTCTCCCAGGGCTTGCCATGGGTCTCTCACGAGGTGGGTGGTGACATGGGCTGAACGGTGTTTGTTGGACACCCCTCCCTTAAATGTCATCATGGCAGGAAACGGCGCATCTCTGATTTTCTTCTTTTAGGCTCCAGCTCAGTTTATCGTGCTACTGTCTGCCCTCCTTACAGGCCAGAAGAGCTAAGAGTCACTAACAGCTTGAAATGTTGGCGCCCCTCATGCTACGGAGTCAGCCTTCCACCTACATCCCTCTCAAGTTCGTGGTCCTTCGCAAGTCCACAACCACTGACCTCTTCGGTCCGGGCTCCCTCTGGGTCCCCGCTGCCTCCTTCCTGACAAATGACGAGGCCCCCTTCCCACTGGACTGACGCTGCCTTCACAGCACCCCCCCACCTCGCCTGCATCCTGCCCTCCACTCCCCCACCTCCCCTGCACCCTGCTCTCTGTACCGCAACCTGGTTTCCTTGGGTCAGGATGCTGCTGGAGGTTTTCCTACATCCATCCACGTGAAGTGTCTTCTGTGTCCCTCAAGGAACAACAGCTGAGTCACTAAACAGGACCCATCTTGGACATTAAAACAACGGCAGCTTCCCCGACTGGTGTGGCTCAGTGGGTTGCCCATTGGCCCACAAAGCAAAAGGCCGCTGGTTTGATTCCCGGTCAAAGCGCATGCCTGGGTTATGGGTTTGGTCTCCGGTTGGGGCATGTATGAGAGGCAACCAATTGATGTTTCTCTGCTTCTCTTTCTCCCTCCCTTCTCCTTGCTCCAAAAATAAAATTAATAAAAAAAAATAGCAGCTAATGGCTTCTGAGTGCTTACTCTCATCCAAATCATTTTCTTGCACTGTCTTATTTAATCTTTAAATAAGCCTGCTAGGCAGGTACCAATAATTTCCCCAAATTATACATGATAAAACAAGGCTAAAAGAAGCTAAGAAGCAAAAAAGAAGCAGCAGCAGCAGCAGCTAAGAAACGTGTCCTAGGTCACAGATTTAATAAGCACACGAGCTAGGACTCGACTCACTGTCGACATAACTCCGAAGCCGGGATGACCAGACTCTCTCAACGAGCAGCCGAGCCCACCCGCACGTGAGCGCGCTGGAAGTGTCTGCAGGGTGGGGGTCGTTTGGAAGCCGCCGATTTCCTTATGGTGAGACAGGAGCTACAAACCCCAGACCCTAAGAAGCAGCTATGCTACAACTGCCCCGGTGATAAATCAAGAAACCCACTCTAACACATTATTTTAGTGGGCAGGAAAACACATCATTTTGGTGGGCGTGTCTGAGGGATGAGAAAAACGAACAACAATGCCGCCATCGCCGGCGTGCAGCCGGTGCAGAGTCAGAGCCCAGGTACGGACCGGGCCTCGCACTTGCACACCAGGAAGCCCACGGACAGATCACCTGCGCGTCCAGTGGGACCTCCGGAAGGTTACATCACTGCTGTATTTCTACCTGACTGTTCTAACGTCCCCGGTCCTCGCCCTTCGTTTCAATGACCTTTGCGTTCCGAGCTGCTTTGCTGGGTCTGCGCATAGCATCGCACCCAGAGGTGACTCGGATGGAGCCTGTGAGGGCCGCCCCAGCGGGTCTCCATAGAAATGGCCCCGGGGTGGTCTCCAAAGTGGCCTTGCTTGAGTTGCCATGGCAAACAACCAGGCTAGATTGCTATATTCAGTTCTCTGCCAGGGTCGCCATGGTGACTGCAAAGGATGGCTCCTTAGAAGGACCTCACAAGGGTGCGTTTCCATGGTGACCCTAGCCTGCATATTTCTCAGCCACTTCCCTTCGATGGGTCTGGGACCAATCACGGCAGGTTCACGAGGAAGGTTTCTCCCGAAGATGCCATCATCACACACGGGGATTTCGAAGCGAGGTCTGTAAACAAATGAACGGCTTGGAGGTGTGAGAGGTGCCGTTTACCAGTCAGTTGATTAGTCCGTGTACATTTTAGGAGGGATCCGTTTTGACGGGTAACAGAAAAGTATGCGCGATGTCTCTGTTTCAAATGTTCGTTAATTACAAGTATCTCACAAAATATGATGCAGACAACTGAGGTTTCAAATGTCTCCATTTCACAGCACAGCCCCGACCTGGTGAGCAGGGTTCTCGCCAGCGTACCTGGCGCACACGGAGACGGAGCCGGAAATACAGATGGAGCATTAGGTTATAATGAGATATCAAGGAAGCTTTTACAGAGCAAAAGACAAAATATTTGCAAGTCAAATGAAAAAAAAAACCGTGCTTTTTTAGCTGAGTTGGGAAAGCCGGGCTGTATTTGGGCCCGAGCTATTTCTTCCTGTGTTTTTGCAGTTGGAATAAACCCAGCTGTTCCTCTTTCCCACTTCAAATATGAATCGAAGCCATTCTGAACAGATGCTTGGTTTTTTAAGCCATTTGACGATTCTCCTGAAACTTGAAAATAATTTACTTTTCAAGTATTTGGTCAAGGGCACACTTTTTATCTAACCACTGATGTCAATGTCTTTAAAAATTATATCACACATAAAAATATCTACGGTTCCAAAGATATGATTATAATTTCTGCACAAGCGCCCCTCCCCATTTTCGTTCCTTCTTATGGACTCTCCATAAAAATAAAAAGTAACGCACACACCCCCTTATTGAACGGAGGAGGCTAATCTTGGTCAGTCCCGCTGCTTTGGTATTTTCCGGTATTCTGTCTCGGAGAGTCCCCTCTTCCTCTCTGCCCACAGCAGCCCCCCCCCCCCGACGCCGCACTCACACCCCATTCGGGAGCATGAACTTGAGTCTGAAAATGGACATCATCCAAAAAGATGAGGATAATTCGCCGGCACATTTTAGTGAAGTCTCAGTGTGCTGCACAGAGTCCGAGTTTGTAGAGACTTCCTGCTTCAAGCCATCAGTGTTGTAATGGGTCATAAAGACTGTTATCGGCCAGTGCAATTTCCGTTCATTCACTCCCGACCTGTTTTCAGACGGGCTGCCTTGGCCTGAGCCCTGTGCCGGGGGCTGAGCGCCTCGGGAAACAGATAAAAGTCTAGGGCCTGTAAGGTGCTTAGGTTATAGACAAGGAGAAAAAGAAAAAGGAAAAAAAAGAAAAAGAAAAAGAAAAAGAAGGGAAGGAAGGGAGGAAGGAAGAAAGGAAGGGAGGGAGGGAGGGAAGGGACGGGAAATGAAAGGAAAGAAAAAGAAAAAAGAAAACAAAAGAGGGAGGGAACATAAAGAAAACCAGTGAGGGCATCATCTCTTGGGTTAGAAAATGGCTGGAGTGAGGGGGCCATGAAAGCAGTTTCAACGGGGGACTCTGACGCTACGGCTTGGTGGGGGTTTCAAGGATGCCCCTACTCACCCGCCATCAGTGTGCGCAATGCTCACCTACATTCTTGAATTTAAAAAAGAAAAGATTAAGAAAGTCTCTTTCACAGAACTCGAGAGAAGTTCATCAGAGCGCACTAATCTTTTCCCCAGTAAACCTGTCTCCGAGGGGCGGCGCGGCCTGAGGCGGGCAAGCGGTCCCGCCACGCCCCACCCCATCCCACTCGGAGCTCAGCCGCACCATTGCTCCTTCCGAGCCTCGGGCTCAGTTTCAGCATGAGAGTACGCATTCCAGCCCGACAGCATTACTCTGAGACGAAGCGCAGATACTCAATATTGTGGGTGGTCATATCAGGCCTGGGATTAAAATGTCTAGAACAAAAGTGCCCTTTGAAAACACTCCAGGAAAAAAGAGGGGAGAAAACGAGAAAAAAGATAGATGAAACAATTTGAGTGACTATTGGGAAATAACGAAGCCCAGCGACAGGTGTCTGAGTTCGTTATATTATTGGTCTTCTTCTTATCTCTGAGAATTTTCATAAAAAGCTCTTTTAAGAAAAGGACTAAATTTGAAAACAAAGATACTTCACCTTTGTAAACGTTTTTACGATATCTAGACAAAAGTGTATAAGAACACCAATGTATTCTGTAAAAATATCTTATAAACCTAGATAAGTGGATTTATATCCTGAGCACTGACTAACTTTCTAGAACAATGCTAGGTACTTTTCATACCGTCTTCCAGCACTCCAGTTTAAGAACATTAACTTCGTACTTGACTCATCGTGAAAGACAGCGTAAGGCAGAAGGCAGAGGAGCACCACTGTGAAGCTCACAGGCTCCCTGGGGACTCAGTGGATGGCGGATTTGGGGAGAGCTTTTGAGAGAAATGCTGGTACCATTTGCCGAATGCTCCAAAGCGAGGCTGCAAATGGAGTTCTGCATTCCTAATAAAAGTTTCCCTCGCCAACTCGGTATAGAATCGTATCGAGGAACCAGCACTTACCAGGTCCGCGTCTGCCTTCTTGCAGGTCAGCGCTTCTACTTTGGAGCTCAGTTCTGCTTGGATTTGGTCTCTTCTCTTCATAACACCCTTGGGAGGAGAACACACAGACTCGGTCATCTTCGCATAGCAAAAACACATGTTTCAGAACATAAATCGCCATCAGGACTTGAAAAAATCACTTTAATCTCTAGAAGCCAACCTGAAAGCAAGTATTCGGAAAGGTTTTTCGTCGCCCCTTTAGTTCTCCCAGTGCACGTCTTACTGGTGCGGGTCTGCTATGCGCAGTTCTTCAGAAAGGGCGAAGAACAGGACGAGCGGTCAGCAGGAGCCCTGCAGGCTCGGCTCCGGGGTAAGCTCACTGCTGCTGGGCTCCCAGGCCGCCCTTTCATCTGGCTCCCCCCCCCGCCCCTCCCCCCGTGTGGCCCGTCAGTCCGTGACAGCAGGGAGCCAGAACACGGAAGGGTGCATCCGCATCTGAAGATTTTACTGCAGCTTAAAATATATATTTGTGTGTGTGTGTGTGAATCAATGAGCCGCGCTTTGGATGAGAAACCGTGGCCTCTTCTCTCACGGACAGAGGTTCCGTCCAGTTTTCTTAAATGACCAAGACTTCTTGGGTCGGGGCCGCGGCACGGAGCAGCCTCTGCGCAGGAATCTGCACGCAGGGTGCGCCGGGAACCCCGGACGCGCTTGCTAGTCTTTTGCCGCGTCTCCCCCTTGGGGGCGCACTGTCCTGCCGAGATGGCCTGCTCGGGCTTCGTGGACACGAGGACTCCCGTGATTGGCACGCATCTTCCCGGGGCGTCTAGTGTCGGCCAGATGATGACACTGTCATCGTGAGCACACGTGGCCTCTACAGGTTAAGGGAAAGAAAGGGGTTCCACCAGGGAGAGTTAAAGGAAAGACACACAAGACAAGGGGTTGCACGAGACAAGGGGTTGCACGAGACACAGGTTTCTCGGGCGTGTTCAGAAGCAGGGAAACACCTAGGCCAAACTAGTTCGGCAGAGACCAGAGGGGAAGGCCCCGCAGCACCCGTGGGAGAACCGAGAGGCTGTGGGGGAAACAGCATCCTCTGGGCTGCGCAGTCCGGTTCTGCGCCTGCGGGACAGCCCCGAACATGTTCAGAGGAGACGAAGACGGCTCCCATTTTAAAGCGATCCTTAACATAATTCAACTAATGACCGCACATTCTTTTATACTGAGGTCCCTGGCTCATTGCCACGGATATCAGAGGCCCCTCCCCTTCCCAATGACACAGATGGCAATTTCGTCCCCTTTATTGAAGGTCTGTTTCCATAAATAGAAAGCACCGTGCTTCCCGTAGGTAGGGATGTCAGGTAAGAGGTTGGTGGCTCAGAAGGAAATGGGTAAAAATTACCCCCGTGTCACCATCTCGTCGAGGCACGTGCTTTTCGCTCCTTCAGCTCACACGGAAGAACCCCCCCCACCGCGGAACACAGAAGCAGACGGCGACATAAGTGCCCCTGATTGTACCCAGGAGTCTAACAAATAATACAATCGAATGAGGGCCTAAAAAAAAAAAAAAAACAATGCTTCCTCGCTGCTATGATAACGTCCCCACACCTTCAACCATACACGATTTAAATTGCATAATTTCCGTCTTGACATGCTAAAGAGCGAACCCGTCTAATAAGGGGAAAGAATACAGAATCCACGACTTTAAATAATACAGATCATTTCTTTGAACAGTCACACAAAGCAGGGATCAATGATGAAGTTAAGCAACGGGAGTGTCGCCAAGGAAACGGACGGAGGGAGGGGGAGGAGGGACGCGCGCCAGCCCTTGGGGAAGTCAGATGGGTGTGTCCGCAGCACGGCCCCAGGAAGGCCAGGAGCAGCCGGAACCCGACAGAGCCACCAGATGCTCAACGACTCTGTGAGAGGAAGGCCCAGAGACCATAAACCTGCTGAGAGGCGGAGACAGCGTCTCTTACCAAGTTAGAAGCAAAATTAAAAAAAAATACTCCCCCAACCCCCCACCCCCAAAATCAAGAGTGCATGCGAACAGAAAGCAGACGTGGCTCGGGCGAGAGGCGGCGGCGGAGGCGGGCTCGGCCCGCGCGCCGGCCGCCTGGGCCCCGCCGCAGCGCTGAAACGCCAGGCCTGGGCGCGGCTCTGCAGGCCGAGCGCCGTGCGGGTGGAGCGCCTTAGCTGTGCAGCCTGCACCGCTAAATCCCAGCTATCTGGGAACCTTCGCTCGAACGGAGGAGGTTAAATGCAAAACTCGGCTCCAAGAGGGAGAAAAGCCTTTTCAAACAGTGGCACAGAAACATTTCCACGTGAAGGATTTCTTTTCAGAGGCACCCAGGAGGCAGAGCAAACATGGAGATCCAGCTCAAGTGCTTTGCGCATAATGACACGGACCGTGTTGCCGGAGCCAATGCGCCGCCGCCCAGCAGCGGGGGAGCGACTCGCTCACCGAAAGAAATGTCTCACGTGCTGCCAGTTTTTGAAAAATTGAAAAGGTTGGAGAAGCGACTCCTATTCCCTGTCTAAACCTTGCTGGCGGATGCTTCAAATCTCTGCATAACCTTCCAGACTGCTGTCGGCACTGCTGAACGGTCCTGTCTTTCACAGGTGTGTTCTTCCGCCCGTCCATTCCCTGGTGCGGCGACCGCACACGGACGCTCTATCTGCACGCAAAGCCTCCCGCCGGGACGGGAAGACGCGGGTGCAAATGCACGAGTGGGAGCTGCCTCTGGGAAGCCTGGAGCCAGGCCCGGGACTGGGGCGCAAGTGTAACTGCGCGCTCTTACCGTTAACGTCTCGCTGTAAAGCACGTACTCGTGGACCACCGGGAGCAGGGCCTCGGGCAGTCCCGACAGGCGCCTCTCGGTGGCGGTGCAGCACCGGGCCAGGCAGCTGGCGACCCCGCTCAGGGTGTCCGCCAGGTCTTCTTCGGACTCCGCCCACAGGGTATGAATCGGGCCATATTCTTTCATTTCGTCCAAGTATTCTAAAAAGAAAACAAAGCAAAAAAAAAAGTTCTTCCGTTTATGGACGTTTTTAACATCCCTGCTGATAGAGACAGCAAAGCAAGGGGCTTATTTTTGTCGTCCTTTTACACACGTTCTCATACACGAACACGGGAAGTGGGACATCGTCCTTCACTAATTCGACCTGTCACGCTGGTCTGCTCGGGTCAACTGGCCAGCGACGACCCAACAAGGACTGCCCAGGGATACGCAGTAACGGTGTCCTCTTTCATTCTCGAAGTGCCCATGTGTGGTCACCATTTCTTCACCGGCTTCTGCCCGACAAGCACGCACTGCCCCTGCGCGTCTCACAGCAACCTGACCTACAGGAAAACCTCGTCTTCTTTCTCCCTCCTGCTGATTCACCTCCCACGGCTGATGGTACGTGCTCCCAGGGAGCTGAGTGGAAAGTCCCGGCTGCATCCTGGGCTCCTGGCTGCACCCTGGGCTCCCGGCTGCACAGCCGGTCAGCCACCAGGTCCCCTGGATCTTCCTCGTTGCTGTGCGTCCATCCGTCCCTCTGCCCGCCTCCCCTCACCTCCATTCTCATCAGCGTCTCCGACCTGCACTCCTGCAAAGGGCTTTGACCTCGTCTCTCTCCTCCTTACCCTTCGTGTCACAGAATATAAACATCGGACTTCTTTAGGAATTAGAAAGTTCTAATTTAGGATCCGTCCTCACCTTGCCTCTCCGGATCCAACCCTTGAGATTCTCTCCCAGAGAGGTTTTAATCGAAGCCCCGATCCTCGCTCCCGTATGAATCTCTCCCGACTTCTGCTCGCGCAGACGCCGCCTGCATCCCTCAGCCATCGCCCCCGTCCAACAAACTGCGCTCAGCCCTTTCAATCACAGCCTAAGCAAAGCTCTTCGGGTCCCGTTCCAACGGATGCGGAGATGCTTTGTCCTCAGGGAGCCTAGCATAATGTTCCAGTCCTCCTCCAGCCTGTTACAATTCTGTGCTCCTACTGCCCCGCTCTACCAGGATGGCTTGCATCACTGACATACTCCTCGGCCATATGCGCCTTACAACAAGGGCTGAGTCTTACTATATCTTTTAAGTCTCAAAGCCTGATCCATAACGTGTTCAATAAATATTTTCACATCAATGAAAGAATAAATGAATAACAAAAGGACTGTTCAATGCTTGATAAGCCATTTATTCAGAAATTTGAATTTCATTTTAAAATCTGAATATTTTTACATTTTTGCTTTCACACTATCAACTTTTAGCAACAGTTTTTTTTATGGTAGAAAATGTATAAGTGAGCTTTTTTTTTTTTGCCTGATAACCATATAAATAAAATTAAATTCTCTACATTTAATCATCTTCTACTCATTAGAGTTAGTTGTGATGTCATATTGCTCTAAGTTAAAATATTATAATTTCAAGAGTTTATACGATAAAGTAAACTGAAAAAATATTTCAAAAATTTCAAACGATGGAAATGTCAGTGGTCACCTAATGAAATTAATTAGGTGTCATGACCTTAGACCACGTCCCAAATCACTCTCCTTACCTAGGCCCATCCTGTATTTTAAAGGAGGGCCGGAGTAAAATAATGTTCCTAGAAGCCCTGGCTGGCGTAGCTCAGTGGACTGAGCGCGGGCTGCGAACCAAAGTGTCACAGGTTCGATTCCCAGCCAGGGCACATGCCTGGGTTGCAGGCCACGGCCCCCAGCAACCGCACATTGATGTTTCTCTCTCTCTCTCTATCTCCCTCCCTTCCCTCTCTAAAAAATAAATAAATAAAATCTTAAAGAAAAATAATGTTCCTAGAATAGAAAATATCCTCCTTTATTTCTGTTCTCAATTTGTGCATATCTCAACATGTGTCACTTAATCTGTTCAATATTTATTTTTTAAAATCATTTTTAAGTTTTTATCCCACTACAGTTGTCCCAGTTTTTCCCCTTTGCCCTCCTCCACCCATCCCAACAACCCCCCCACCCCCCGCTCCCTGATTCACAGTCCATCCCCACCCTGTCGTCCACGCCCACCGGTCACTCACACCTGTCCTGTGTCTAGTCCCTTCCCCTTCTTCCCACCAGTATGCCCCTCCCCCTCCCCCCTCCCCTCTGGTCGCTGTCAGTCTGCTCCCTGTTTCCGTCCCTGTGGTCCTATTTTGTTCTTTAGTTTATCTTGTTCATTAGCTTCCTCTTACAGGTGAGAGATCACATGGTATCTGTCTTTCGCCGACTGGCTTATTGCACTTAGCATAATGCTCTCCAGTTCCATCCACGCTGTCGCAAAAGGTAGGAGTCCCTTCTTTCTTTTTCAATAATAAAATAAATATAGAGCTTCTGTACAATCAGAAAGTGTGCTTACAGAGCGCTCAGACACATTCACTTGCAAACATTTAACACGTTGCCCTGCGGTTGGTCTGTTAATGTGTTTGTTTGCCCCACTGGACGGCGAGCTCAGCACAGGCACCTCGTCCCTCCTCTGATCTCCACGCGGATGAGCAGCACAACATGGGGTCGGTACAAACCTGCCAGATAAGCTGGGGGGCCCAGAACAAACGCAGTCGAAGAAACAATGAATTAAAAAGTAAAAAGAGAGACTACTGGTTGTGATCACCGAATTTGCTGATCTGACTGTGAACACAATGCCCTCTGCCACCTCGGCTCCCCGAGCCACCGAAGACAGCACTGCTTCATGCCGAATGGAGTCCTCACAAGTGCGCTTCACACCCCTGAGACCAGAAATCCCTCAGTGCCCCGGCTGGTGTGGCTCAGTGGGCTGAGCACGGGCCTGCGAACCAAAGGGTGGCCAGTTCGATTCCCAGTCAGGGCACAGGCCTGGGTTGTGGGCCAGGTCCCCAGTAGGGGGCGCTCGAGAGGCAACCACACACTGATGTTTCTCTCCCCTTCTTTCACCTTCCCTTCCTTTCTTTCTAAAAATAAATTAATAAAATCTTAAAAAGAGAAAGGAAATCCATTCATCGCTTGAAAGGAGAGCTCGGATTTGTCAAGCCTGTCGTACAAAGCCCAGGTCGCCTTCTGAGCACTTCCCATAGAGGAGCGTCTGCCTGAGATCTCTCACCTCTCGCCTTGCAACAGCCCACCCAAAGCCTGTGGATATTTGATAAACCTCTTAAGTGTCAAGGGTTTCCAGGGGCCTCTCTGAACTGCCATCCCACTTAGCAAGGCTTCAAGAACCTACTTAACAGAACTGGAATCACAGGACCTCGTTAAAACAATGAGCTTCTTGGGATTCAAAACAAAGTGACAAATGGTGACGACAAGGGCAGACCAAGAAGGCTTAAACAAACTGTTAAACCGTATTCCGTCACGATGATGAGCTCGGTAAGTGTCCACGCACGGACGAGGCAAGAGAAGCAGCCGACTGCTCCCTGATGAAGCCACTGATGTCCATTCATTTAGCTCCTCGGTCACTGAACAGATTTTAGTCGAGTACCTTCTACATGTGAGACACTCTCTGGATACTAGAAACACAACAAACCTTTCCCCTTCTTGTCCTGATTGAACTTACAGTTTAATGGGGGGGGGCACAAACAATAAAAAAACACTCCCAACCATCAATATAGGGACTGTGAATAGTTCATTTCTAAAACCAATGCATATTAGGAAATATAGTTTATGACTTAACCATCTATTTTAAATATAGGTAAATGCAATTGGAAAATTAGCAAAAGTCATCATGGAATTAGGAAAAAAACATCATGGAATAAACTTTAACTTATAAATTAAAAAAAAACACAGAAAAGAAACTAGAAAGAGGAAATGGTGATAGAAAAATAAGAAAAAAGACCCCTTTTCCAGCATATAAATCTCCCTGTCACACTCAGACAGGCCCAACACAGAGAGGACGTGTCCCTTCCCAAGTCACTCGGACAGGCGGAAACACTGCTAAGTTATGGCCCGTGTTGAACATGCAGACCGACTCGATACCACTGCATCCCAAATCTTAAGCTCGGGGCTTACGTCACCAGTGCTGTTTGTAGGTGGGAGCGAGCACAGCGCCTGAGCGGACTGGCCGTGACTGCCTTCCGAAGCAGGCAGGAGTCGAGACCGTGCACACTACGTCTGGGCACAAGAGACACTTGAAGGGGAAATTCTAACTTAATGTCATGTGACTCCTTATAGAAGGACGTTGGAAGTTGCCACCAGGTCCTAACGACCCGTAAAATGCTGACCAGGCTGAAAAATCAACCTCTTCTCTCGGCCCCGCGCGGGAGGGGAGGACTCAGGACTGACCGCTGTCCCGGGGAATGGAGTGACAGACGGGCGTCGGGCCTGCCGGGCCCACAGCCTTGGGCGTGGAGACCGGGTCTGGGAAGGCCGGGGCAGGGAGACGGGGCCGGGACTGAGAACCTGCCGGGGCGGGGCTGGGTGGGCAACTCTAAGGGGTGAGAACTCCAGGGGCCCCAGTCCCCACGAGTCTGTGCGGTTTCCCCGGGAGCTCAGCTCGGTTCGGTTCCCACGGTACGTGTCCAGTAGGAGCCACTCCTGCTTTCCATGGGGGCTGGGGACAAGCACCCTGAAACAGCCAGGGCACTCGGCTCTTTGTGACAAGGCCCGAGCTCAGGGGACACAGCTTGCAGGGGCTCACCTGCTGGGTGTCACCCAGGCCACACCCACCTGCAGGGAGAGAGATTCCCCAGCCCCGCCCACTGGGGCGAGCCCATCCCAACGAAGGGGAGGAGAAACTGAGGACCTCGTGAAGGTCAGTCCAGAGGCTGAGACCTCACCACAGGGCCCGGGGACACTTCCCCTCCCACACTTCACCGCCATGTGACAACTATTCAAACGGTTGCTCGTACTGGGTACATCGAGTCCAGCTAGCAAGGAAAGATTTCCAGGCTTATAAAAGGCAAGAAACACCATCTAACCAGACGGGGCAAACTTCAGACATGAAGCCTGGAACCGTCGGAGCGGGAGTTCGAGACGACGGTGCAGACACGCGGAGGGCAGCCGTGGGTACGTGGGCAGCAGGCGAGCACAGACTGGCGCCGGGGGCAGAGAGACGGAAGCGCTGGAAAAGGCCGGCAAAGGGGCGCTAGCCTCCCAATGTCTGACCACACTCTCGGGCGTGAAGACCCCCCAGAAAGTAAGCAACGTTAAAGTCGCGAACCGGAGACCTACGTACCCCTTTCCTCCTTGTAAATTCTCTGAGATATTTTGTCTATCAAGTTGATTTTCTGGCTGAAGGTTTCAATGAAGTCATTCATGTCCATGAACTCCTCGGGGCGGCTTTTCACTCCTCGCACGGACCAGGCCACCGCACGGACTGTCTGCCCCACCTTGCTGAGGAGCCCAGGCCCTTGTTTCTTGTGAGAAGACAGTTCCTAGAAATTTAATAAAAAAAAATTGTGGTCAAGCAAGCAACAGCATTCCAAGACCCAACAGAAAAAAAAAAAAAACCCTAATTAGAAGAAGAATATAATGAAAGTGTTTCATACACATCTTATTTTTTCACATTAGTTTGAAGGAGATGAGTTTTGTGGGGGTGAGTTCTTCCTCAGCATCCTTATCTCCTCGATAACACCCCTTTGCAAAGTAAATCACGTGCCCGTGTTTTCTCAGAACTCGGGTCTTTGGAAGAACAAGGTTTATAGAGAGAATGGTGCTTTGGAAGGTCCTGAGGAGACGGGATGAGAGGGAACGCAACCCGCATTTGGTTGAGGGACTTCATGGGGAAGATGATGGAGAGAAGACTGCTCAGAGTCTAAACCACTCCCTGACAAAAGACACTGGAAAACTTCATGAACTCTTTCGTAGCAAACATAATAAGCAAACATGTATTGCAAGTTTTATACGTTCCAGGCCAATCCTCGCACTTTTATATACATAACTCACGGTGCCGTGAGGAAGGTTCTGTTATTGCCCTTGTTTTCCCGGATGAAATAGAGACACGGGAAGTGGAGGAGCTTGTTCTTGGTCCAAGAGCAGCGAGCACAGACAGGGCTCGGGGGCAGGCGGCATCTGACGCCGGAGGCTTCTCTGGGAAGCACTGACCTGCTGTCTTCGTTAAGTCCCCAGGACAGTCTGTAAATGAATACAAACTCTCCCTGACTGTAGCTCCTGAAACTACTGGAGTGGGCCAACTGGTATACCGCTTCCCTCTACTGGCTGGCTGGCTGCAGAGGAAGATTCTCTATAAGACACGTCACTAGCTGTTTCACAGTTAACCCAGGAGGGACAGAGACAGGCTGGCAACACAGAAAAAAGTTCCAGGCAGTATCACTCTGCGTGCAGATGAGAACAGGCGCCCTGTCTGACCGGACCACATGTCTACCCAGGAGAGCTCCAGCATCACTCGGCGGCGTGAACACCATCAGAGACAGCACGGGCCATGCTGGCAAGCCGTGACAGCCACTGCTGGCTGTAGACAAGGGTCCCTACAGCTTCACTGGTGCCCAAGTCAGACTGCAGACTCAACTCACGTGAAGACGGAGATGAACCACTTTCTAGCTTCCACCACTGTGGCAACAACTGAGAGGTTGATTAAATCAACTCAACATCAGTCAATAACTGTTTAATACTGACTGCTTGTCCTATCCAGGATCTTACTTGATGAATTCCATCTTCACAGTTAAAAATAAAAAAGAAGAGGAACATATATTGTATGTAGAGTAGAAATTAGAGTCCCCTCCCCCAAAAACTAGTAATTGAAGGGAAACGAAGAAATTGCATTATCTATCTAGGTATCTATCATTCCATCCATCTATCCACTGCATCCATCCATTTAATAATGACTTTTATCCTAATTTGAAAAGCCCTAACTAAAATATCCATTACTACTCAAAATAGTGTTAATAAAAGAAATAAGTATATTTGTATATGTTCAGTACTGGCTATGCATGAATTAAAATGTCAGCTACCAAGAGAAATGTGAGTATGTAGGATGTGAGGAAGGTATAAGGTTTCTGTAACGTTTACATGTAGATTTGACACAGGGCTAAATCTGAAGCTATCCCTCCGACGTTTCAGAATTCTTCTGAATTCCAGGGCCCTGCTGTCTGGTTCACACGGGTAAAGAGGGGAAGCACACCGCCTTCCAGCCACACAGGCACTGAAGCACTGGTATGAGTCAAAATTCCTTACCCACGCTTGTGCAGTAAGAAAAACTTTGAAGTCTTCATTGAACGTTAAAGTCGGATGATCGGCAATTCGGTTCAGAAATGTGTGCAGTGCCTTCCGGCGCGTCTCGATGAAGTCATCGTTGAAGCGTTCCACCATCCCCTTCACTATGAACTTCTCTGGCAACGGCTGAGGTGAAAAAAAAAAGTGAAAGCCATACCTGAGTGTCAGGTGGCACAGCATTGTAAGAAATTCTGCATGTTTCCATGGGAGAAGACTATTTGCACCTGTGATCACTTCTCAGCAAAATAATTCTAAAAATTCACAATGCTAACACCAAAAATGACAACACTGTAACACTACAACGGTTGGAAATAAATAAATCTATACTTCGACGGAGAAGTACTTAGACTGAAGAGTTCAAAAACAACTGTTCCCAAGATGAATGAATTACACTGAATGGCAAGGTTTGACATTGGGTCTTCAGCACCTCCTCGGTTCGCAAGACAAGATGGTGGCTATTCAATGACAAGCAATGTCAACTTACTGGGATAATCAGGGTGGGGTGTGCCTCTTCCAGTTTTCCTTTTAACCACAGGAAGTCTTGGTAGCGCCTCCTGACTTCGAACTCGCTGGAGTCAAATTCCCCACGGGACGTCTGCGGGAAGCAGGAGGAGGTAACAGCACATGCGAGAGAGACGGCAGGCATTTGCCTGCTGATATTTTAGACTTTCTAAAATAAGTGGGTCTCTAAGAAACATGAACAAATTCTAATTATTCAGTGTTTGTCAGCCTGGGCTTTTTCATTTTTTTTTAATTTTTTTGCAGTCATCAATTCATGTAGCAGATGAAACAAAGCGAACTTTCCAGTATTTCCAGAAAGAAAGCAAACATCACACTCGAGTTTAAAATCCAAACTGAAAAAAATCTGTCTCAGAGTTACCATCTGCCTTCCACGAGACTTAACAACGATCATCTTTGGCATGCCTTTCTAGCTAACGAGAAAGTGTGTTCTGAATTTAGCTTTCAAAGAGATGTCTTTTCTCAAGATGATCAGAATTCAGAATTTGAGGAAAGTTCTATTATTGCAACTTGGAAAAGAACTTGAACATAACTGCGAAAAAAATGTTTTCCTGGAATTTGTGCAAATGGATTGCTTTGCTAAAACCTGCTTTCCGTATATGAAAATTCTAACATTTTGTAGAGTGATTTTGCCCACTGTTTTAAAAAATGTTATTAATGGAGGCTTGATGTGGAAAAAAAAATGTTCCTGTCATTCGCAAGGAATTTTATTTTGAGTTATACGCTTAACTCCTAAAAATTAAGCAAATACATTAATATATCTGTTCCCGACAAACCAGGGACCTACGCCAGCACATGTGACAAGAATGCGGGTCCAGCACTGTCCACCACCCTCTGACTGCCCGAACCTTCAGCCAAACACAAAGTAGACCCACACGTGCACAATCACCTCTCAGAGGGAGACAGTCACGCCTGCCAACATCTTATTTAACTGAATTTTTGCACATTAAAGATCATACGCGGTAACGTTAAGGTTGAAATGTTGCTGCAGGAGGAAAGAAGACGTAGCATGTGGCACCCACGTTTCACACTCACCAGAAACCTCGGTCTCACACACAGACACACGCGATCGTAAAGTGAAGAGGTTCAGGTCACCGGCAACCTTAACCGTGGGGAAAGAAGGCTCACAGAAGCCGTACTTTCCAAGATTTATTCTTCGGAAATGAACGTTTGGAACACCATGCTATGTATCTCAGTAAAACACTCCCTTTTCAGTGGAAAAAGTGGAGGTAGGTGAGATGGGGAAGTCTACAGAACTAAATGCTCACGGAACACAGCAAAGTCCTGACTGTTATGCAAAGCGGTGCGTGTTATAGAAATGGTAAAAATAGGAAGACCAAATCTAGCAGAAACACAGTTTAACAATATAGACGAGCTGGGGTGCGCACACATATAGATATGCGAATATACACACAGATGCACACAAATCGTGCTTTCGAGGCGCTCATTAAAAAGTATTTATTGAACACCTCTTGTACCAGGCACAGATGTCCAGGTTCGCTACTGATTTCCAAGGGGGAAAAAATGGCATAGCTAAAAATAAAAACACTCACAAACTGAGCAGTAAAGATGGAGCTTTTTTGCCCTCAAGAATGTCTAGCACTTTAAGGAGACGGAAGACAAGAGGAAGATGTAAGATGCAGCCACGTGACAGCCGGTTCTGTCCTCGTCAGTCTCGGCCGAGGACCAAGAGCAGCCCTCTCCCGTCCCTGCAGCAGCGAGTGAGCGCGAGCCTCGGGGCAGGGGGCCTTCCGTCCCACCGCCGGGCCGGCCCCAGCCCCGGAAAGGCTGTAAGGTGCGCGTGTGGGGCTCTGACGAGGAAAACGAGTGCCGTCGGGGGGTGGGGGGTTCAGATCACCGCTAGTCCCCCCAGCGCAAGGGCAGCGGCCTTGTCCCGTCCACAGGGGCCAACGGGGCTCATCTGAAGACAGATGAGAGCTGCGTGATGGGAACTGGTGACCGGTCTCCAACTCCGAAAGCACGTGCGATCTAAAAAGTGAACTGGGACCACAAACCATGTTTCCAGTCGACAGTACAGTTTTCCACGGGTGTTATATTGTGAGTGGTGTTTAATTTCTCATGTCTGGCCACGGAGTTTAGAACTAATGGGCTCATGTGGTCGATACCCCAAAAGGACTTCACTCAACAAACTCTGACCTGCGGTCAAGGACAGTCACGCTTCGCGCTGAGGATACGGAAACCTGTTTATGAGGGAACACGAATCTGGGGTCAGGAACGTACTCCAGGCCCTACCTGCCCTTGGGCAGGCATTCATGTTTTGTCTTCTCAATGAGCATGTGTGAGGAGAGACCCTCATTCAGTGTGGGGTCTCACGTCTGTGTGCAGTAAGCGGTGGGGTGGGGTGAGGGGGGCACAGCCTTCGGTCTCCAAAAGAGAGAGTACTTCCTTAGGGCGCCGGTCCCCTCCCAGAGTCCCACCTGGGGACTGGAAGGTCATTTCCCACAGGGCCGCAGGTGCCGGGAACCAGGGCTTCCTGGTATGATTATTCACGGTCAGGTCATTTCTAAGGGTTCCTAAGTACGAGTGTGCGTGCCCAATCCTTACGATCTCAGTGCCCATCAATATCGATTTTTATGAAATAAAGTCTCAGGAAACCACCTCTGAGCCTTGAAATTAAGTGGGGCACCCCATGCTCAAAAAATGCCATATTTCTAGCCCTGGCTGGCGTAGCTCAGTGGATTGAGTGTGGGCTGCGAACCAAAGCATCACAGGTTCGATTCCCAGTCAGGGCACATGCCTGGGTTGTAGGCCACAGCCCCCAGCAACCGCACATGGATGTTTTTCTCTCTCTCTTTCTCCCTCCCTTCCCTCTCTAAAAATAAATAAATAAAATCTTATAAAAAATGAGAACATATATTTTTTTTAAAATGCCATATTTCAGCCCAGGCTGGCATAGCTCAGTGGATTGAGCACGGGCTGTGAACCAAAGTGTCCCAGGTTCAATTCCCAGCCAGGGTACATGCCTGGGTTGCAGGCCATAATCCCCAGCAACCGCACATTGATGTTTCTCTCTCTCTCTCTCTCCCTCCCTTCCCTCTCTAAAAATAAATAAATAAAATCTTTTAAAAAATGCCATATTTCTCTGTCATCACATTAATTACTTAATTACTATAGTCAAGTAATTAAGCACATAATTGAAGATCCAGAGGGGTGCAGGATACGTCTGGTTTGGTCGCCGATGTCATCTTAACCTACAAGCACCTGAGACAAACCTGACACTCAATAAAGCTTCGCGGAGTATATGAGGAAATGAAGCCTTGAATCACAGTGGGAATACTATGTTCGATGACAGAGTTTACATCCACAAAGTGTTTATGTGGTCGTCCTTGTACCTGCAACGCACAGTCTGCGCGATCTCGCATTGAAGCTCAGTCTACATACGAGGATGGAGTAAAGAAGAAGAACTAAAAAGAGAACAAAGGAACTTGTGCTCGTAAGAGTTCCGCTGGAAGCAGAGATGCACAGACGTGTAACAGGAAACACGTGGAGCGCGAGAGGCAACTGTCCGGAGTGAAATCCCAGCTCAGCTGGCCGCCACGCTGCTGCGTCAGCGCTGGCAAGCCCACGCAGAGCAGGGTCCTCGCGCACAAAACGGGGGTTAGATCGCCAGGGCTACAGCGCGGGAGGCCGCGGCCTTAAACTGGCCCTTAGTTACTCGGCGAGAGCGCCGCCTGGTGGCGAGGACGCGCGGGAACGCACAAGAATGGAAAGCTAGAATCAGCAGGACGTCCGTTTAGGGCTTATCAAGAACGTCTTTCTGAGAGAGACAAACGATGAGACAATAATTCAGTTCCACAGATTCGTTGCTGGAAAAGGTGCTGACAAGGGATGATTATAATTATAACAGTAGTGGCAGGAGAAACCCGGCGCTGTTCTTAGTAGTGTGTCTGCATGAACACTTGAAGTGTTCACAAAGACCCTCCCACGGGTGGCCGTCATCCAAGTGACAAGCGAGGAAACAGCCTGGAGAGGTGAATTCAAGTGCCCCGGACACATAGCAGGAAAGGGGAGGAGCCGGGATTCAACCCCACGCAGCCCTGCGATGGCTAGGAGACGAAACATGTCTTCCCTCACCGGCTCACTCACCCTGGCTTAAGTGATTCACCCTGAAAAGGTAAACTCCTGACTTAGCGTAGCCTAAGGATCGTGTCTGGAATCGTGGAAAATGAAGCTACAGCCACCCTCCTTGGGAGGCTCACACACTCACGGGGAATAAACACAAAAATAAGTATCCCTGGCCAGCGTGGCCCCGTTGGTTGGAGCGTCATCCCCTAACCAAAAGGCTGCAGGCTGGATACTCGGTCGGGGCACAGAGCCAGGCTGCGGGGTCACTCCCTGGCTGAGGTGCGCGCAGGGCACAGGGGGCGGCGGGGTGCAACGGACTGACGTTTCCCTCTCGCATCGATGTTTCTCTCTCTCTCTCTCAAATCAGTGCACGTATCCTCAGGTGAGGGTAAAGAAACAGGGGAGGGAACAGAAGAGGACTGCCGGCCTGCAGGAGCGGGTGCGCGGGCGTGGGCACCCCCTGGGTGGTGTCTTGAGAAGGAAACAGCAGCTGTTCCGCCGGAGAGCTGGCAGGGCGGACCGGACAGAAGGGACGCGCATGCGGAGTCGGGACAGTGAGGACCCCCAGGAACACTCGGTAACAGAAGCGGGCCTCCAGGTGCGGAGACACAGTGAGGGGGACAGACACAGTGAGGGGGCAGAGGTGAGTCCTGCCCGGGGCTGGGCACGGGGTGGGAGTGCCCCCGGTGTGAGACCAAAGCGTTTGGGTGCTCTGCTGGACACGGGGGCCCAGGGCAGGGCCGGGAGGGTCGGAGGGGAGAGGTCAGGGTCGTCACTCAGATGCGATGACACACGGTGAAAGGGCGGTGGGAGCGGCCCTGGACGGGGCGACCACAGGAAGATGGTCCCAAACCTTGTCAGCTCCAAGAGGGATGCAGGGTGACGCTTCAAACATAGATTAGCATAACTTAAAAATACAGTTCTCACAGGCTGCTAGTGTGCACAGGACTCCTTCTAAAACGGTTACACTACGGGGCGGTTTTGTTTTGTCAGAGGTAGAGGCTGTTTGTGCAGCCTGCCCAAGGTGGGGGCCCTGGGCTCGAGCTCTGCCCTGGAATCACCGAGAACCGGTGGCAGCATCTGTCTCCTGCGTAAGATGCGGGCACCGCCAGCCCTTCTCTGGAAAACAGGGGACATTAGTGGTCGTCACCTTCCGGAGAGCTGGGACTACGAAAGACCGAACCGTGTTCTCAACCTGCTGTTCTCTTTATTACCCAGTGGGGGCTCTTCTTTCCCAAAGATATTTCTTTCCCATTTTTTTGAACCCAAAACTTAAAAGCCTCCTATCTTAAGAAGCACAAGGGCTAAGGAGCGCGCGGCTGTTCCCGGAGCCTGGCCGATCTGACGCAGAGCGAGTGAAATGTAGCGAGGACGCGACGTCCAAGATGCTTGGGACACACAGAGGTCGACCGAGCAAAGACTGTCCTGGGCCGAGAGGCAGCGGGAACTAGAGGCACTTCCGACGGCTGAGAGGCGGCAGCCAAACCCCAGGAAGCGCCGGCTGCGCACTCACCTTCGTGATGACCCTGTAGGTGACGAAGGTTTCCAGCGTGGTGACGTGGCTCTCGGGTTCGTCGACCGTGATGAAGAGATCTTTCAAGTCCGGCTCATCTTCAAACTTGACCTGGTTGATCATCGATAAAGGGGACGTTGGCATCAGGGGGCTGAGGGAGTTCATGTCCATCAGGGAGGCATCCTGAGGAAGAAAGCGGTGCAACATTAACAGCTGCAGAGAAAAGAGTTAAGATCCTTTTTTCTCAGACGCCACAACAGTTCACGAAGTGTGTCAGGAACAGAAAGGGCCGTTGGACGCCTGGTTCAGGAGTGCATGCTGAACACGTGATTTTTTGTCTTAGCTTTCTCGCCAGCCCCACCGATGACAGTGAAGAGACAAATAAACGAATAGAATCCAAACCAAACCAAAAGGCATACACCCTCAAGGTAAAAAGAAGGCACGTAGCCAAGTTTTCTTTGTGGAAACTGGGAGTCTGGCAACTGAAATGTTGGTGAACGGAAGGCTGGAGAGTGAACCCAGGAGGGAACGGTCAGTGAGGAGGAAGGCGGGTTCATGACCCAGAACGCCAAAGAGACTCAGAATTAGAGCCACCAGGAGCCGTGGGCGTGGAGTAAGGATAGAGCTGAAACCAGAGGATGGGTTGAAAAGCTAATAAAACAAACAAAGAAAGAGTTAGTATCTCAGATTCCCTTACCTACCCCAGGGATCAGGGTGTCTTTCTCCTCGATTCTGCAGAAAACTGCAAGTTTCCTTTCAGAAACGTCTCTGAACTCAAGGGCACCAGGCAAGATGGGGTGATGGTGGCTCTAGGGAAACACGAACTTCAAGGCCAAGTCCTACATCCTAGAGGGAACGGTACCCAGGCCCATGCCTCACAGGCCCCAGAATGTTGGGGGGAGGGCCCTCGTTTGCCCCTCAAATCAGTCTGAGTGCTTTGAAGCACCAGTAGTACCCAGAATGCTGGTCTTGGGGGCCCCCTCCACCCCACACCCAGTTAGTGATGTGAGCTTACAATGCAGCATGTGGGTAGGCTTTTGGTGCAATGATGGGAGTGATGTTAGGGTAGCGTGCTAGTTAGAGAGACAAGAATAATGTTGTTTTATTAAGAAGGTTCAGATTATTGTCATTACAAAAGGGTTTGTGAAAGAAAAGGGAAAAAATCATTTAGGCATGGCATGGACCCAAACAAGCGAAGACCAGCTACCGATGGGTTAATCAGACAAGCAAAGGCTTGGAGACAGGAAAGGTCTGGCAGCAAAAGTTGAATGAAATAAATTATGGCATGTCCCCATGATAGGGTGTAATAAAGTGATTAAAAGTAATGTTTTAGGAGAATATATAGTAACTTGGAAAAAGGTTCACAGTGTGTAATTGAGAGAAAATAGCAGGTCATAAAATGTGTGTTCTAGTGGATTCTAATGTGCACATGTGTGTGTGATGAAGCGTAGCCAGAGGAAGGAGAGTAGGAGCGTGTGTGTGTGTGTGTGTGTGAGAGAGAGAGAGAGAGAGAGAGAGAGAGAGAGTGAGGGGGAAGGAGGGGGGATGGAGGGAGGAAGGACGCACTTGGGATGGATGAACTTAAAAGTTATACAAAGAAAGTTAATAGTTATTGCAGGTGTTGGGATTGCTGTTGAATTTCCTATTTTTTCTACATGAGTCTTTCCAAATATTCCAAAAAAAAATAAACGTGTATTTTGAAGAAACATTAAACCTGTCAGAGTGGACATCGTATGCTGGGCACAGGGGCGGTAAGAACTACTGTCGTAAATGAAAAGGGTCGCCTCGGGTCGCTTTGGCAGGAGACCGGAGGTTACATTAGGTTTTTCCCTTAACTCGCCGAAGTGGCGGAGTTCCACGGGAAATTTAAAAATGCGTTGGAGGCACATGAAAATGGGATTGTCAAAACAGATTGCAGGACGCTAAGACAATGGGATACTGAGCAGCCATCAGAAACAGAGCTTCCAGGCTCCAAACACATGTGCAGTCGGGACGCACAAAAATCTCCCTCAATGACCATTTCATACAAGTGGCAGGGTTTTTAGGCTGACAAATGTCAATGCGATGGGCAAGCGTCCTGTGGAAGTCCCCCGCTCGGCCTACGACCGCGGCTTTCGCGTTCTCTGAAGTCATCCGTCTTACTCGCTGCAGCCCGCGCCTTGCGCCTACTACATAATTTAGCAATTCTATGTCTCCTGCTTAAAATGCATCCTTCTGCAGAGCGGGGACGATCTGCATGCATTTACACAGGCTCCCGACCCCACCGAGCGCAGCGCACTGTCACGAAAATATGCCTCCGCATCGAGCAGAGGGAGAAAATTACAGGCTGAAATTTAGCAACATCCAGGATTTCAGCAGAAGGATTTAAATTACTATGAATCACTCAGAAAGCATTCTCAAAACCTCAATAAAACCGACTCTCCGAAGTGTTTTACATTCACTTAAAAAAAATGGGAAGGGGGGCAGGGAGGAAATATGCTGATAACACTCGGATTTACATTTGGACATGAATAAATGACGAAGTGCGTGAGAGGACCCAAGAAGCACTTAACCAAAAAGGACTCCACTTAACCTTTGGCGGTTGATGCTTTTCGGGAGAAAAGGATCATTGAACTTTGTTGTTCCCAAGCAAAGGCCTCGCCTCCCCGGCGATGCACGTGAGGCCTCCCTCCCCCGCCCCCTCTGCTCTCGGTGTCCCTCCCCCCGCCCCCACACACACACCGCAACTTCATTTACGCATCCTTTCAGTCTTAGCCATTGGGTATGTGCCCGTTGTGTTATGGACACAAATCTTTTCATTGTTTTCTTCGAGCGATTTAACCAAAAGGGTCGCTACCTGTGTGGTGAATCTCTAGTTCTTAACCACCACCGAGCACCACCTCTCCCGTGGCTAGCAGAGTGGAAAGACCCACGGAGACACGCACAGACGCCCACGCGCCCGCGGCGGGGAAGCCGCGCCTGGTTTCCAGCCGGGAGCTGACCACGCGGAGTCGAGAAGGCCCTGGGCTGCGGGAGTCATTGTCTTCTGTCCCCACTCCAGCCCGGTGCAGCCACTGGGAGGAGAAAAAACACCCGGGGGACCTGAGTGAGGGGGAAACAAGGACATCACGGGAGCTGGAACTGTAGGAGCGTGAGGCTGGGGCTGACGGGCAAGGCCGCGTCCAAGTGCAGGCGTTCCTCGCTGCTACTCCGGTTCACTGTGAGCCTTCGTTCGGTTGAATCGTGTCCTTCCAAACTCCGGACGTGGGAGTCGCCTGGCGCTTCAGAATGCGCCTCTTTTGAGGGAGGGGGCCTTCACAGAGGCAATCAAGTTAAGACGTGGTCACGGAGGTGGGTCCTGGTGCGATGGGACCGGTGCCCTCACAAAAAGGGGACACGGGACACAGAGACTTCCGCAGACGGAGGACGACGCGGAGAGGCACAGGGAGGAGGTGACCACCCGCAAGCGGAGGACAGAGGCCCGGACGCACCAGCGCTCGCCGCCCTCGGAGAGAACCAGCCCCGGAAAACCAGACTGCAGCCACTGCAGCCGGCGAGCCTCCGCCACTGCGGGCAGAGAGACCTGCGCTGTCTGGGGGGCCTAGTCCGCGGAGCCTGGTCACGGCGCCCCACGCACTCGCAGCACGCCTGCGCAGAGCGCCGCGCGCGGTGAAAATCTAAGGCAGCAAAGGGAGAGAGGGAGGACGGGATCACGATGCAAACGGTGCAGCCTTGCTCACTCACCAATGTTTTACAGGCTGTCCACCCGCTCCCGCGAGTTCTCAGAGGTGTGCGCGCTGCCTCCTCTCGGGCTACCGGGTGTTTCCAACTTGCCGTCGGAACACGCAGAACGCGCGGCCGGGATGCCGCGCACACCGGGGTGTGCCGAGCCGACGCGTGCGTCCTCCGGAGGGCCACGCCAGAAGAAACGGGTCGGCAGGGGAGAGGGGTTCTCTCTGCGGGGTCCTTCCCGCAGGGACGTCTGTGGCGTGCGCTCAGAACCGCTCACGGACGCGCGTGGGTGGCTCGGGGAGCCCCACACCGCGTCCGCCGTCTGTGCCGGCGGCTCTTTCCCTTCCACGCGTGGAGGGGGTAGCCACCCACAGGAGAAGTGTGATAACCCAGAAAGGGCCACGCGAAGAGCGCAGCTGATGCCCGCGGGTGGCGCACGCCCGCGACAGCTGGCGCGACAGCGCCTCGCACCGGAAGGAGCCGGAGGAGCACGCCGTCCTCGGGGACACTGGTGTGACGGGGCTAAATTTAGGCTCGGCAGCTGTGTTTGGGTCTCCGACTCCCTCCAGTCTGCCTGCGTGTGATCACAATACAGAGTCGTCGGAAAGGCCTGCCGTGGAAGGCGGGAGAACCTGCGATGGGGGCGGAGCCGCGGCTGCGCTCTGCGAAGGCGCGCACGGCACCCGCGCGCCCAGCTGACACACGTCCAGTCCGGGTGGGGGGTGGGGGTGCAGCATCTGCGCCCCGGCGCGCACTGACCCCCGTTCACTCAGCCCTGTTGTGCTGCTAGTGCTTCCTTTTCCCAGCGGCGGTGCCTTGCACGCACTTGAACTTCCTCGGGTTTTATGTGCTACAAAGCTACACTGACCGTAGACACTTTTCACATAACTTTATTTGACATGAATTTCCCCTCTGGCAAAACAAACAAACAAACAAAAAAAAAGATAGAGAATGAGAGAAAGAAAAAGAGGAATACTTAAAAAAAAACTCTCTGGAGCCAGGCAGAGCTAAACCTAGTTCAAGTTCAGACAGACACCGCCTGTGTGAGCCTGGGCCAGTGACACTCCTTCTGAGGTTCAGTTTCCTCACTGGTGACCTCGTGGAGAGGCCACATCCTGGATCAGAGAGGGTGACGGAGAGGTTACAGAGAGGCGAGTAAACCTGGTGAGTACATTCTCTGCTCGAAGGGTTTACACGAATTAGCGTACACACACTTCACCGCGACCCGGGCCAGCACGCTCTGTTCCACCGCGATGGGAACAACCACACCTTCACGCAAGAACAGAGGTAACCCTCGTGAGTTAAATTTGGGTGGGGGGGGGGGACAAAGGAGAAGCATTCATACAGGGTGACACCACTTTTAAGAGTCCTGAACCATACAAGATCCAAAATCGTATAAATCCTTAAAATACATTGCTTCAAGATGCATACATAAACTTTTATGGAAACCAAACAACTAATGCACAGAAGTC